TGTAACCCCTCTGTACAGTATGTTCACAAAATAAAATAAAATGAAAAAAAATAAAATAAAAATTCTCTTTTAAACTATAGTTCATATTTTCAGCACCAGCATCTTTACTTTGCAAGAAAACCAACTATCTGTGCCTTTCATCCAGGACATGACAGCTGTACTGACATTTGAGTGTGTGGCATGTATCATTTAGAGAAATTTGGGAAACACAAAGACACCAAGGATATTAGGTGTTTTTGTGGTTAATCAGTTTTATCCTGGACCTTTCCAAATCTAACAAACTGCATGGTATCTACCTGGCACTGTAGTTAAAAAAAAAAAGGAACTGTTAGCTGAGGGCTGGTGGCTCACACGCCTGTAATCCTAGCTACTCAGGAAGCTGACATTGAGGATCTCGGTTCAAAGCCAGCCAGGGCAGGAAAAGTCTGTGAGACTATTATCTCCAAAAAAACCACCAGGAAACCGGAAGTGGTGCTGTGGCTCAAGTGGTAGAGTGCTATCCTTGAGCTGAAGAGCTGAGGTACAGTGCCCAGGCCCATAGTTCAAGCCCCACGATGACCAAAAAAAAAAGGACTATCCCTGAGTGGCAGTGGCTCTTGCTTGTAACCCGACCTACTCAAGAGGCTGAGATCTCAGGATCACAGTTCGAAGCCAGTCTGGACAGTAAAGGCCTTGAGACTCTTATCTGCAATTAGCCACCAAAACAAACAAACAAACAAAAAAACACAACTGGAGGTGTAGCTGTGGCTCAAGTAGTAGAGCATTAGCCTTGAGCAAATAAAGCTCAGGGACAGAGCTCAGGCCCTGAGTTCAAGCCCCAGACCTAGCACACACACAAAAAGAACTATGGTCTGGGAACGTGGCTTAGTAGTAGAGTGCTTGCCTCGCATGCATGAAGCTCTGGGTTCTATTCCTCAGTATCACATAAACAGAAAAAGCCAGAAGTGGCACTGTGGCTCAAGTGGTAGAGTGCTAGCTTTGAGCAAAAGAAGCTCAGAACAGGACAGTGGGACAGTGCCCAGGCCCTGAATTCAAGCCCCAGTACTGGCAAAAAAAGAACTAAAACTGTCAGGGAGTGCAGATACACGCTGGGCTTCACCAACCTCTGCCTTCCATTTCACCAGCCTGAGCTGACTCCAGTGTGACTGACTTTGTGAGGGAATTAGGGAGTCCTTTTCTTTCTCTCCCAGGTGAAAACTCATGCAAAGAACTGGCAAGTGAGCCAAGTTTATAGTCTAAATTTTATTATCTCCATGTCACAATGCTGATCACAAATGTGCACCCTTTAAAACAGTAACAAAAACAACACACATGGCAAAATCCTTGCAACTAAACACAGTGGACTGACAGAGACAACTGTCACAGTGTCTTAAGGTCTGGGAGTGTGGGCATGCTGCCCACAGGCTTGAGGAAACATCTTCAGGTTTAAGGCAAAGGGAAGCCTACAAAAGGCACAACCACCAGCTACCCTTAGAAGAACCTCTTATTTTCTCCTTATAGGGGAGTTACGGCTTAAGTGCTTTACCACCCTCCCCCCGCCCTTACCCCACACTGTGACTCAAAAGTGGTTAGGCCAGCTACCAAAGGAATATGAAGTGACACTGCTTGACAGAGATGACCACAACTTTCTCTTGCAGGTTCCCACAGGACAGGGACAGTGGCCAAGATTCTACTGGCAGACAGTGTTGCAGAAACAGAAAACTTCCAGAGGCAGCAGGAAGGTGGTTTGGTACCATGGCTAGAAAAGGAGGGAAAGCCCTTGCCCAAAAGGTGATTGGTTTCCTTAGGCCTTAAGCCCAGGTACTGTATCTTCTGTTTGTAAGAACAGGAGCAGAATTTGGGAAAAAATCAAGTAGTAACATCTATAACACTTGTAGCAGGAAAGTCACTGAGAAGAGCAACTGCAAAGGACAAGGTAAGCTGCTTACTGGATAGTACTTGCTTCTGGAGAGATGCATTGGTCCACAACAACTGGAAAGGAAGTGGTAGGAGGGATGGAAAGAAGAGAAGCGGGGCTTGCTAATTCCACTTACCTCAAAGACTGAGCCCTGAGGACAGTGTGATACATTTCTCTAAGGTGCACAGGCTTCCCTCCACCTCCCTCCCTCACAAACGCATCTGGTTTGCCCATTCTTACTTTCAGTAGGGGAAAACAGCCTCAGTAGGGGACTGAAGCCTACCAGAATACAGGTACTACTGGAAGCTCAGATTATACAACCAGCATCAAAAAGAAGAGCTCCTACTCACCCACTCAGTTTTTTTCCAATGGGACTCTATTTAGATGACTTTGCTTCCATAGAGTTACAAGAATTAAAAGCCAAGTATCAAAGTAACAAAGGTCAATCAAAAGTGAAAGGCCAGCTGTCTTTACACTTGACTGATATACTCTTAATAATCTGGGATGGAGGTCAATGACAAAAGGGAACCCAGAGATGCTAGCAAACCAGAAAGAACTTGTTTCATATCAAGGGAGAGAGAAGAAACAACACTAAGAATATTAATTTAAGAACAGCAAGCCAGGATTTAAAAAACAAACATTTCAGAAAACAAACAAATAAGAAATTCCCTGGGACAGAAGACACTTGCATTTTCCAGGAGACATTAAAGAAGATCAAGATACAGCTTCTGGATCTAGACTCAAAAGCCTGGGCAGTTATGTCTCTGCTCCTCTGAGCACAGCCAGCTCAAGTGAAGAATAGAGGACACCTGTTTCTCCTCTTTCCACTAGAGCCTATCCACAGGGGAAAGGGATGCTTCCTTTTCCAGTTGCTTGCTGGTAGGACTACATCCTATCTTTGGAGCCCTCTGGGTAGTAGTCAGCCAGCTGTACGTCTTTTCTCTCCTGAGTTCTCACCTCTGCTGTCCTAACAAGGGCTGGGAAAATGAAGAACACCAAAGTGTTAGTGGACCTCTGGCATTTTAAAGCTTTCTCAAAGGTTACATATCTTTAAAAAAAAAAAAAAACACAACTATTATTAGCATCTATCACTTGTACAAGACGGGGTTCACTGTAACATTTCCAAATGCATACAATATATCCCAATAAAGCCATCCCTTCCATCTCTCTCCTCCCACAATCCTTTTAAAAACAATTCCAACAGGTTTTACATTTCTGTTTTCATACAAACATATAAAGTACTTCCAGAATATTCACTCTCCATTGGTCTTCCCTCTTACTTTTCATCACACTTCTAAATAATGTGGGAGATTTGTTTTTTTGGTGCTGAAAATCAAAGTCAAGGCCTTGAGCATGCATGTGCTCTATCACTGAACCACACCTATAGCACCTAAATGATGTGTTGGGTTCCCCTCCATCCCCCATCCTGGGGCTTGAACTCAGGGCCTGGGCACTGTCTTGGAACCTCTTTGTGCTAAGGCTACATTCTATGCTCTACTACTTGAGCCACAGAGCCACTTCTGGCTTTTCCCCAGTAGTTTATTGGAGGTAAGAGTCTCACAGACTTTTCTGGCTGGGCTGGCTTTGAACCATGATCCTCAGATCTCAACCTCCTGGGTAGCTAGGATTACAGGCATGAGCCGCCAGTGCTGAGCTTTAAATAATGTGCCCCAATAATGTATTTTAATGACCTTAAAACAAGCAGAAATAATGATTAAAAACAATAAAATAGGACTGGGAATGTAGCTTAGTGGTAGAGTGCTTGCCTATCATGCATGAAGCTCTGGGTTCGATTCCTCAGTACCACATAAGCAGAAAAGGCCAGAAATAGTGCTGTGGCTCAAGTGGTATATGCTAGCCCTGAGCAAAAGAAGCTCAAGGACAGTGCCCAGGCCCTGAGTTCAAGCCCCAGGACTGGCAAAAAAAGAAAGGAAAAAAAAAATAAAACAGATGGGGCTGGGAATGTGGCTTAGTAATACAGTGCTTGCCTCGCATGCATCAAGCTCTGGGTTTGATTCCTCTGTACCACATAAACAGAAAAAGCTGGAAGTGGCGCTGTGGCTCATGTGGTATAGTACTAGCCTTGAGCAAAAGAATATCAAAAAAAGAGTTTCTAGGCCCTGAGTTCAAGCCCCAGAACTGCCAAAAATACAGGTGAGTGTGGCAGCACACATTTGTGGGATGAGGATTTTGAGTTCAACACCTGCCTGGGTTATACAGTGGGTTTGAACAACTCCATGGTCTTTTTCCTGTACCATCTCAAATTTAGATTTCCTTTTGTCTCTCTCTTTTTTTGGTAGGTAGTGGGGCTTAAACTCTGGGCCTGGGCCTTGCTCCTGAGCTCTTCAGCTCAAGGCTAGCACTTTTACCACTTGAGCCACAGATTTCCCTTTCTCTTGATCATGTTTAGACGATGCTCCTATATGTTTATCATGCAGTTTCCCAAATAAAAGTACCAAGTCAACAGCAATTTCTACGTTACTCCTACCCAATACATTCACAAAGTAAAGAAACTGACACATTCTCACACCTCCTTAAGCCTCCCAAATTATTCCATGATTGTATCAAGCATTAATGAAGTGATTGTTTATCAAGCAGTAAGCATGAATGTTAAGGGTTTTTTTTGGTTGTTGTTGGTTTTTATTGGTTGTTGTTGGTCGTGGAGCCTGAACTCTGGGCTTGGGCACTATCCCTCAGCTTTTCAGCTCAAAGTTAGAGCTCTACTACTTGAGCCACAGTGCCACTTCTGGCTTTTTCTGCTTATGTGGTGCTGAGGAATCGAACGCAGGGCTCATACATGCAAGGTAAGCATGAATGTTAAGTTTTAAGACTATAGCCACAGAGCCGGGCAGTAGTGGCTCATAATCCTAGCTACTCAGGAGGCTGAGATCTGAGGATCGCAGTTCAAAGCCAGCCGGTCGGGAAAGGCCATAAGACTCTTATCTCCAATAAACCACCAGAAAACCTGAAGTGGCACTGTGGCTCACATGGTAGAGCGCTTGCCTCGAGCTGAAGAGGTCAGGACAGTATCCAGGTCCAGAGTTTACGCCCCATGACCGATTTAAAAAAAAAAGAATACAGTCACAGTAAGCTATGTACTTACTCTCATATGATGTTGGACTGAAAAAAATTCAAAAAGTTGTATTAACTGGAACCCCTGCTTACAACCTGAAACAGAAAGGAAATCTGTTAGGAGTTTAAGTTTTTTGTTTCTGTTTTTGTGTTTTTTTTTAAAACAGAAACACACCCTGAAAAGCAGAGAAATCCTCTGGAGAAAAGGAAAGCCCAGAGATGTGGCTTGTGCTGTTAAGTATTAGAAGGAGTTCATACCTCAGGTGGAGGGGGCTTGATGGACACTGGCTGGGGAGTCCTTCGAGGTGGAGAGGGCTTTGGCTGCACCTGCTGTTGGGCAGGGTTATAGTAGGTCACTCCTCCATAGACCTGTGATGGGGCCTGAACCCCGTAAGCCAGGAGAAGGTAAGTTTAGAATTCATCTAACCTATGAAAAACAGTAAACATCTAGCTACAAAAATATAAAGAATAACTGTAAAATTCGTAATTTTTCAAATTTTTGAGATGTTTCCTTCAAAATAAAGCACCTATGCATTTCTGCCTTAATATGTGACTACAATGCTCTGATTTTCTTTTTTTTTTTTGTCAGTCGTGGGGCTTG